ATTCCCTGCCAAGTTGAATTAACAAGGAATATGAGTGGGTTGGGGGTGGAAAAACTCCCAACGACCCTTCTCAGCCCATCCTCTTCGTGTGGACTCCGGCAGCTGTGGACAAACTGCTGCGACGTTCCTGTGCCCGACTTGCCAGCATGAGGCAACCTGGCATGAGGAAATACCTCCTTACCACGGCGTTTGGGGCGTGCGGACCAGGTCCTGGCCATCATATATGTTTGCGAATCGTCCCTCTCCGATGTCTCGAGGTTGTCGTGTTGCTTGGTGGAACGTACCAGCTTCCAGGGATTTTGGGTGCTGGAGTTAGGCTTTGTGTCTTCTTTTTCTTGCCCTTTCCAACAAACAGGGAGAAATTAAACGTAAAAAAGAAAAGTCAAGGGCTCCCCAAACCCTCCAACTCTTGCAGCTCAGGCTGTTCCAGCAAAATCCACCTCCAACACACCCAGACCAGAGACAAGGAAATCACGAGCTGATGTTCTCTTTTCCTCCAGACCAGCGAGGAAGTGGCAGCTTTGTTAACTGGGCTGAACGTTCCTCCTTGGCCAAACCGGACCTCCGTGTACCGGCCGCAGCCCGGCAGCAAAGTCCCGGACACGGTGGACTGGAGGGAGAAGGGATGCGTCACGGAGGTGAAGAACCAGGTGAGAAGTTCTCTCCGTGTCTCCCCGTGTCTCGATGCCACGGGGCAGCACCCAAACATCTCTGGGGTTTTGCAGGGTGCCTGTGGGTCGTGCTGGGCGTTCAGCGCCGTGGGAGCCCTGGAAGCCCAGGTGAAGCTGAAGACGGGGAAGCTGGTGTCCCTGAGCGCCCAGAACCTCGTTGACTGCTCCATGATGTACGGCAACAAAGGCTGCAGCGGAGGTTGGATGACCAGTGCTTTCCAGTACATCATCGACAACCAAGGGATTGACTCGGATGAATCCTACCCCTACACGGCTCAGGTGGGCATCAGAATTGGGCAACACGGGAAATCTGCAGAAAAACACACAAGCACGGAAGCAACGTGGCAATTCCTTCTCCTCTCCCATTGATTTCCCTCTGTCTTGGTTTCTGCTGGTCTTGTGCCATCTTCTCAGCCTCTCAGACCCAGGGAAGGGACCTTCAGACTTTTTTTTTGGTCATAGGTGAATGACTGGACTGGGAGCCAGAATTCCTACGTGTTTATTTCTGTCCTACATAAATTATGAGGCAACGTGCTACACGGAAGGGGAAAAATGGGACAGGAGTCCTGGCTCCTGTTCTCAGCTCTCTGTGTTTCATCTTCTGCAGCTGAAAAATGGGATATTGGTGTGGACAATGCTCAAACAATTATTTTTTTTATAAAGTTGCCCGTAACAGATGCTGCATGACTGCTGCAAGGCCGTCATGAACGAGCCATAGGAGAATAAAGGTCCCAGTGCTGAGAGTCTTGGTGGCCAGAGACAAGAGACGCCCTGAAATGACCTGGTGTCTTGAGAACATGGCCTGTGGAAACAGGTCCAAGCGACAGCAGCTCAGTCCAAGATAGAAAAGCCTTCAGACATCCACAAGGCAACTACAGAAACAAAAGACGCTGGTCTCTGTGTCCAGAGGGAGAACGAGAGGCCATGGGCTTCATCTACAGCAGAAGGAATTTAGGTTAAGAAATTGAGAAATTTAGAGGAGGAGCCTTGTGATGGGGAGGATGAGGAAGCAGGAGCAGTTTCTGTAGGGAAGTGGTAGAAGTGGTGTCACTGGAGGTTTCTAGAAAAAAGGCAGAGGAACGGCTTGGCTGCTCTCGGTGTGGGGAGGTGAGATGGACACGGTGGTCCCATCAGGTCCTTCCGGCCATCTTCTCTGCAACGCCACGTGGCGGAACACGGTGGGCAAAGAAAAGTGAAGAACAGGGTAAAAAAGGGCTGATAGAAAACGCGTACTCGGAAGTGTTGAGATCTTCCTGGTGGATCCTTCACGCTCCTCTTCTCAACTCCCCCTTGTTCCTACCAGAATGGGACATGCCAGTACAACGCTTCCGCGCGAGCCGCCACTTGCTCCAAGTACGTTGAGCTCCCGTACGGCGACGAAGCAGCCCTGAAAGACGCCGTAGCCAACGTCGGCCCGGTCTCCGTCGCCATTGACGCCACCCAGCCCACCTTCTTCTTGTACAGGTCAGGTACGTCCTTTTTTACCCTGGAGATCTTCACAGTCTTCTGTGTCTTTCTCCAAGACACGGAAAAAGATGTCAAGCTGATGAAATTTGGTGGAATTTGGCAAGTTGGGGCTTAATTCCTGGATGAAGGCATCAACATGACGACACCTAAGACAGCAGCGTTAGTGACAGCTGAAGGTTGACTGGTTGAAGGTTGAAGGACTCGAAGACGAGGTCTTGTGGTCTGCTGACGTGCTTCCAAACTCCTTTTTTTTTTTAATTTTTTTTTTTCCCCAGGTGTTTACGACGACCCCCAGTGCACACAGGAGGTGAACCACGGGGTGGTCGTCATCGGCTACGGCACCCTGAACGATAAGGATTACTGGCTGGTGAAAAACAGGTAAAAGCCATGGACCCCTCGTTGTCCATCCGCTCGCTGTCTGGAGGGATGGGCTTCCCACCGCCCGACCTGACACCCTCGGAATTTTATAACCAATGTTTCTACGGATGGGAGGGAGATAATTGTTGGCAAAGCTGCTGCTTTCACCCACAGAAAGGGGGATTTCATTTTTCTCACCTGGGTTTCTTTGTTTCTTCTCCCGAAAGCTGGGGCGTGCGTTTCGGCGACGAGGGCTACATCCGCATGTCGAGAAACCACGGGAACCACTGCGGGATCGCCAGTTATGCCTCTTACCCGCTGATATAGACGGACCCCGAGCTCCAGGGAGGACTCCTGAGGCTTCAGCTCAACCACTGGCGCTGCGCTTGCACGGATCTACTGACTTCAAGAATCATCTTCTGGCTCTGTGGGCAACGTCCTTCCGTCGGCTCCGCCGGTCTCGCGGGCTGGGAGGGCGTCCTTTGGTGGGAGGATTTCGCAACGTGATTTACAGGCACCTAGTGACTTCTTTTTGGGGAAAACAAGTTTTTTTCTTTTTCCAAGTAAAACTGTGACACCTCCAGTTGTAACGGAGACCACCTCCAGTTACAGCACAGGTCGTGGTTTCCTCGCTCAGGTTTAGCGTTGGGCGCCGCCGCGACGGCACAGACACAATTTTGTCGCCGTGCAATGTTGGTGAAACTGCGGATGTTCCTTGGAAAAAATAAACGATCATTTTCACCCTCCAAAAATCTGCTGGTTTGTCTCTAATGGGTGGCAGAGGGAATTCCAGCGGGTACTTTCTCACCTGGCACTGCTCCCCCTCTTGCCAAACCTCACCAAATGTTGGTCTCCAAACGATGTCTATGACTCGGGAACGGAAGACAGGGACCACGCGCCGCCTGGGGAGAGAAAGGCGCCGATATCCGCGGTTTCACGTGGATGGAAGTTCTCACGGTGACGATGGCAACGAAATACAACCGCTGGCACTGGCACCGCGGCTGCCATCGCGCCCTCATGGCCCAACCCATCGCCAAATGCACCGCGCGTTCCCCACCGGCATGGGAAAACCGATTCTGAAGGAAAAAGGTTTTCATGGTAAAACTCCTGGTTGATGCTGTGAATCCACCAACCCTTTTCCTTCAAATTTATACGTTTGCCACAGGCTTTAGAAAAAGGGTTCAGTGGAAAAACTCTGGTGGAGAATCATTTTTGTGTTCCGCTGGGGGCCACTGCCACCTGGGGGGCCGTGGGGGAACTGACGGAGTTTCCATCCGTAATTTAAGGATACTCGGGGCCCCGATGGAAATTATCACGTGGTTTTGGCCTTGGCAGCTAACCAGATGGGTTGCTGTTGGTTTGGGCTGGTTTAACCCTTTTGCCGAAGCATTGCTC